GATTTTCATCTATTTATAACACAATACATAGAAGCATTTACATTACTTGTATAAAAGTTGTGAATTTTAATTTATTTAAAAAAAAAAAAAACTGAACTTTATTTGATGAGTTTGAAAATTTGGCTTATTATTTATTCTGTTACCTTGATCCCTTTAGCAATAAAATCCTTTAAATTTTATTATCAGTAGATATTTTGTAGCACCCCCAATTAAATTTATGAATGTTTCGTTGTTTTGAAATAAAATTAAAAATTTTAACTTGTGTAATAATTGATTTTTACAGTTGATTTTATGATATACGCTATTAATATGCAAGCTATTATAAAAATAAAATTAAAACTTGAACACTTATAGGTTAAAACTTTAATTAAATTAACATTTTGTATATAAATTTTACGCCATATTTTAAATATTTAAATATAAAAATATTTTATTGAAAGATTGTGTCGAAAATGTTTAAAGGAAAAGAAATTGTAAATAATTGCCTTGCAACAATAAATTTTGTTTGTGAGAAAAAAATTTCATATAATTCCAAGTGCAATTTAAGTTCTGTTCACACTGAAAAACGGTTGTATGTATCGTTATTACTTTACTGTAGAAAACTCACGTAAGAAAAGTACTTTTCACTTAAAAATCAATGTTTCCATTATATATTTTTAATGCGAAAAAATTATAAGAGAAACTATAAATACCTTGCAGTAATGATCTGTGTTCGCCACGAATTCTGAACGGTTTTAAAATAGTGTAAAATACGTCAGAAAACTGCTCTTGACGTCATAGTGAGTGAATGAAAAGCTACCAGGGCCGTCTATTAATAATATTTCATTCTAGACTTCTTTTGCCTTATAATGTACTGCAATTAATAGATACTATCATAGAAACTACATTTTGCAGTAATAGTTATAGCAAAAATGTCCTAATTCTTTTTAATGGTATATCTATAAGTTCAGAGATGTAAGTAACAAATTAATAAGTTGTTTCGCTCATTTTTTTAAAAATTTCTAGTCTTCATGAAGTAAAATAAGTTTCAAATTTCATTGATTTAGTTAAAGAAAATTAAGTAGGTACCTCGTAAACCTCGAACCATTTACCCATTAAAAGCTAATAAATTCGTCATTCAATTTTTGGAACAAGCGCATCGATTAATTTATGAGAATTTAAGGATTAAAAAAGTCTTACAAATTAATAAAAGGAGTTACAAATTTATTCAACCTTTTGAGAGGTTGACGTTTTGAACGTTTTGAGAGGTTCAAATTTTATCAACCTTTTTGCTAATCTTTCTTACGTTGATTCGTCTTTCTTTCGCAAGATTTATACTTTTTATACATTTATTTCTCGATAATATGGATAAAATAGTATGTTTTAACACGTTAAATGCCACGCTAATTTTACATGGCTTGCCCGTCAGTCCAAGCGGTAAATAACTACAAACTAAATTTACAAATATAGGACAGATTTTGCAAGTTTTTTAAAAGGCGTAGCATGACATATCTTCGCTTTATTTAAAAAGAACTGGGCACCTGGGCCGCGCAGCGGCCCCTATCCCATACATCGCGACATATATACATTGTGTTTAAAAACATTTTGAAATTTTGCTACATTGTGGTGGCAAAAACAAAAAACAAAAAAAAATAAAATATATAAATTTACAGTTGATGATTTAGAGTTTACAGATTGATTATTTACATATTTGAAAATTCTATTGTAGTATTTTGTAATATAATATAATTTTTATTAGAGTTCTATTTGAAAGTTCTGAGTTTATTTAGATAATATACTGCACTGGAGTTACTAGGTGGCAGCACTTGCTACTGTTGGTTTTCAGGATTCTGGATAATCTAGATGAAGGAAGTTGATGAGGAATCTGGACACATGATGAAGAATAATCTGGATGAAGAATTGAGGAAGTTGATGAGGAATCAAGATGATGGATTGAAGACTTTGATGATTTTTTACAGTGAGAAATGCTTTGTTGTGATACTGGATGAAGAAGACGATGCAGGTTGATTTTCGGATGATTCTGGAGATTTATTGGAAAAGTGATGTCGGCTGGGGTCGAACCTGGGATCAGTGTGGTGGTAGGCGGATACTCTACCAATGAGGCTGTGATGATATATTACTATTTTTGTTGGTAATGATGAAAGGAGGCATCTGATGTATAAAAAGCTGCTATTGGTCTGAGGTGAGAATCTTTTTTGTAGTTTTCGAATGAGAGGATCTGGTTGAAATTGGCTGTTGTGCATTCTTCGGCTTTTTTGTAAAAATCTGCGTTTAATTTGTTGATATATTCAGAGAGAGGAGGGATTTTGAGGTCTTGGTGGATATTTTTATTTCGGATAAACCAGCGGGCACGGGTGATTTTTCTGAGGAGTTTATTCTGGGTTTGATTAAGTTTTTTCATTAAGTGATCTGGAATTGTTGCCCAGGCAGGAGAGGCATAGGTGAGGATAGGTCGGATCATGCTTGTATAGAGCAGTTTTCTGAGATTTAATGAGACGTTGGAATTTTGGATGAGTGGTTGTATGGAATATGCTGCTGCCATTGCTTTGTCGGTGATTTGTTTAACATGATCTGACCAGGAGAGTTTGCTATTGATGATTAAACCGAGATATTTTGCTTTCTTGACTATTGGAATAGGGGTATTAAAGAGTTTGGGTTTGTAATTTTGTTGGATTTTGATTCTTCTTTTTTGGATTATGAGGAGTTGTGATTTTTCTGCATTTACTTTGATTTTCCAGTGGTTGCACCAGTTTTCGACTTCTATTAGTTGATCCTGTAGTTTAAGTAAAGCTTGATTTGGATTTCTTGATTTAATTATAATTCCTGTGTCGTCTGCATAATAGGCTGTGATACTATTGTAGTCTGCTTTGTTTATGGGGAAGTCGTGTGTATATAGAATGTATAGTATCGGACCCAGTATGCTGCCCTGGGGGACTCCAGCTGTGATTTTTCTTTGAGTTGATTTTTGATTTTGTAGGTTGACTTGAAAGGTTCTATTGGTTAAGTAGCAGGATAGTAATTTAATGATGCCGGGAGGAAAGTTTAATTGGATGAGTTTGTAGATTGTTCCGGTATGCCATACTTTGTCAAATGCCTTCGAGATGTCTATCATGAGGAAAACTATTGCTTCTTTGTTAATGAGTGCTCTGCCAATGTAGTCGATTATTCTAAGTAGCTGTTTTGTTGTGTCGAGTTTTTCACGGAATCTATATTGTTCGTCTGGTAATATTGTTAAAAGAGGTTTCATTCTATTGTATATTATTTTTTCGTAGATTTTTCCGATGATGTTCAGTAAGCTTATTGGTCGATAGTTCTCAGGGCAGCTTGGGCTTTTGTTTCCTTTGAGAATGAGTATTACTGATGCGTTTTTCCAGATGCTAGGGAAGTAGTTTAGGATGAGGCAGCTGTTGATGATATGAGTGATTTTATTAATATAGTTGGGGGGGAGTAGTTTGATCATTATATTTCTGATGCCGTCCTCTCCAGGTGCTTTTTTATTTTTTTAATTTTCGGATTATATTGTTGATTGCATAGTTTTCAGCTGGTTGGATGGTTTCGTTATTTGGATGGTCTTCATAAAATTTATTAACTGCTTCCAGTATTGTGTTATGGTGGTTTGTATGCATGACATATCTGAAAAAAGTGGTGAATTATATAAGCTTACGAACTATTTAGAAATAGTGGTGGATAAAAATCTACTAAATTGAATTTATTAAACCAAGAATCACAATTTATAAACTACCACTTAAAAATATATATTTGCTCTCCGGAGCAAGTTATCTCTGTGTATATAAATAAAACTATTTTTGTGTGTTTTACATTACATTAATTTCTTCAAACCATTTTAGTAACGATAATAATATAAAAAAATTAAAAAATGACTTGAATTAGGTGTTTCTAATAATTTTGGTTTCGCCGGTCACCGGTGACCCCCGTTGTGCTACGAGCAAACTCAGTTCCAGTCACCGGTGACCTTATGGCATTCAACGTTTTAAAAAGTAAAATATTCCTGATTACTAAGACTACTCAGGATTGTTTCTAAGTCAGTAAAACAGAAACAGAGGTGGATGAGTATCCACCTAGACTCCCTCCGCCTCAAATCAGTTGAAACATTTAAGTCGAAAATTTTGTCCCAAATTAGTTGCTGCCTTTAGGTCGAAAATTTTGTCCCAAATTAGTTGCTACAATTAGGTCGAAATTTTTGTCCCAAATTAGTTGCTACAATTAGGTCGAAAATTTTGTCCCAAATTATTTGCTACATTTAAGTCGAACATTTTGTCCCAAATTAGTTGCTACTTTCAAGTATTTGGAGTTATAAATAACTTCCGTTGCAGTTTAGTTGATCGACACCAATAAAATTATACTATTAATGAATTCAAGAATCGTTAGATAGAGGACAGTGTTATGCGATTGCTAATGCAAGAGTCCCTACAAAATGACTCCTGGCTATAACGCGTATAAATACACATAAGGGCGACCTTTGTGCTGGAATACAAAGTAAGGTAAAACAACGTTTAAGAGCACAAAATATATTTAAGAAAGCAGACAGCTGTTTCGGATGCTCAAAGGGCAACCTTCATCAGTGCAACAGAAGAGAGTTGACTTGATATATAATGTTTCGAAGTACCTGCCCGCGAAAGCAGGCATCTCACTTCTTCATCTGTAATGGACCCTAAGGTGACTATGACTAGTTGACAATTAAAAAGTAGAAATTCCACAGGGGGGCTGTGGTCGTCTCGGGATGATATTGGGTCAACTTGGAGGAGATCTCTGAGTCTAAGGCTTTTCTGGCAGTAGAGATCGGATAACAGGCTGGGTGCTCACCTTGGCAGTTTATACACTTAGCAGGCTCGCTCGCTAGTTTTGTTCAAGTGTACGTGAAGTGCGCATTGGCACACTTCATACAAGCAGGCTCAGCAGTGCATGTCTTCTGTGTGTGTCCGAACTGTTGACATCGGTAGCATTGTATTTCGTGACGGCCGCTACGAAATCTCTCAATCTTAACAGGGGAATCTAGGAGTCTCTCGATTTCGCTGTGGTTTCCACAATATGGCAAGGTAGAGGGAGATGAGCTTGAGTTCCTGGCCACGCCTCTTCCTCAACTGTTCGATTCTGATTGGCCGCAGCTCTAAATCTGTAAGTTCTTTTTCGAGATCAGGGATTTCGATGTCTGTGCTAAGACCTTGGATGAGGGCTTTCAATTTTCTGCGGGTGGGTTGTAGAATTTCCATCGGTTCGCTGTTTTCTACTGGAGTCTCGGCGATATCCGGGGCTGCAGTACTAATTGGATCTGGTGGTGAATCTTCCACTGCGAGTGTGGAGGCGGTCTTTTTCTCCGGGCGGGGGGGTTCGCTATCTGATTCTGGTTCCGTGCATTTTTGTGTCGCCGTGTTGACGCTGCACTTCTTTCTCTTCTTCTTCTTCTTTTTGCTAGATTTAGAAGTAGAAGTGGTGGAGTCAGTCTCTGGGATGGTAGTAGAGATTGGCTGATAGATGTTGTCAGTAGCTTCCACTGGGGTTGGCTCATCTGGGATAGTTGGTGTATCTACTGGAGTTGTTGTCTGAGAAATTGTAGGGATTTTCTCGGGCTCTGATGTCTCCGTTTCTGGGTCAGGACTGGATGGAGGCAAGGCATTTTGGGAGTCTCGGGATGCTTTTAAGATCAACATTTCCTCATAACGAAACTTCAGTCTATAGCAGTTTTCAATGTACGCCTTTCCGCGTGCATTTTCAATCTCAGCATCGATGTCTGTTGCATGTCTTTTGGCTCTATCGAATTCTTTGTCGAAGTTAAGTAAAATCTTTTGCCGGTTGTTGGCGATATGCTCTTTCTCATCTTTTCTGATCGCTTTAATACCCACATGAGTTACAGAAGAGAGTAAGAGAAGACAGGGAAAATATATAAAAGATGACGTCACAAGAGGGTTTAGAGCAACGGCCAATGGGAGGGAAGGGTGAATGGGTGACGACGAATAGGGAGCAAGGAAACAAAAAAAGGGGGGGGGGTCAGTTAGGTTTAATCATAGATTTCCAAGCAGGAGAAAGATAAGGAACGCTAGATAGGTCATTGACCAACAGTTTAGAGATTTTGAAAATATGATAAGACTCGTAAAAATCTAAATCAAATATTGAAGAGCAATTTTGAATGACTTTAGAAGAAGAAAAATTAAAATTATGATTAGAGTCCCAACAATGTTGGGCAATAGATGAACGTTTAAATTCTTGTTTTTTGACATAAGCTTCATGCTCCTTGACACGGCACTTTAAGGCACGCTTAGTTTGACCGATATATAAAAGGCCGCATTGGCAATTAATATGGTATATGCCCCAGTTATTTTGACTGTCAATGGGCTGTTTGAGATTAGAAAATTTTATCTTATTAATGGGGCTGAAAATAATATTAAAATCAAACTTCTTTAGGATATTAGCAACTTGCCGACTTATTTTAGAAAAATAGGGTAAAATCACCAAATTGTTAGAAAAATCTTTGGAAGGTTTATGGGTGGGCGACTGTTTAGTTAAGTTTTTATAGATATTATCAATAATGTTATGGGAATAACCTCTGTCACGAGCAATGGCTTTAATGTAATTTAATTCTGCATCAAGAAGATCAATATTGGAACAAATATTAACAGCACGGTAGACAAACGACCGAAAAGCGGCAAGTTTTTGGTTGGGAGGGTGGGAGGATTTGTAATGAGGGGGAAGAGAAACAGCAAAAGGTTTACGAAAAACAGTAGTATGGAATGAATTATCATTCCGAGTCACAAGAACATCTAAGAAAGGAAGTTTTTGATTAGTCTCTAATTCAAAGGTGAATTGAATGCAAGGATCAATGCTGTTCATAACGTTAAGAATTTGGTCTAAATTACAATTATTATCATCTAACAAAGCAAAACTGTCGTCAACATATCTTTTATAAAAGGGGAAAGTCAAGATTTTGAATAGTTTACTTTCAAAATAATGCATATAGATGTCACTAAGTATAGGGCTCAAAGGATTTCCCATGGCAAGACCATTGGTCATACGGTAAAATTTGTTGTCAAACGCGAAAGTATTTTGTTGTAAACAAACACGGGTGAGGTTAACATATTCATCGACCTCATGTTGGGAAAAATGATATTCCGAAAGTCTAAGTTTTAGGCATTCCATAGCCCCCTCAACAGGAACATTAGTGAACAGAGATTTAACATCAAATGAGGCCATCAAATAACCATTAGGTTTCAGATTTTTAACATCTTTAACAAACTCAAGTGAATTTTTGGTGGTGAAAGAATTATTACCAAGGAGAGGGGAGAAGACAGAAACTAACAATTTTGCGAGCTTGTAAGACGAGGTACCAATGTTGGAGACAATTGGTCTAAAAGGAGTGCCAACTTTATGTACCTTAGGTAAAGTATAAAATCTAGCGCAATGAGAAATAGAGGGAGTCAAAACAGCCTCAAGTCTATTGGGAATTAACACAAAGGATTTAAACCTGAATAACAAGTTGAATAGACTCATCAAAGTGAATGATAAAAAACCTGACATTAGTTTGCCTGTTGTTAATCAAAATTCTGTTGTTAATCTCTCAAGTACCACTCTTACTGACGTTCAAATTAATGCTTTAAAACTTAACAATAACTTTGCTGTTTCAACTCGACCTTCATTACCTGAACTTATCGCTCCTATCGAAAGATCTTTTAAATTCAGTAAAATTAATGATGCTCAAAAAGATTCTATCAGACACCTTATTGCCAACACCGTAGACTTCAACTCAAAAATTTCTAATTCCAACCTTAGCCTTTCCTCTAAAGTAATTGTTAAAGATTTAAAGTCCAATCCCAACTTAATCGTTACTAAAGCTGACAAAGGTGGTCAAATTGTCCTTCTTAACGAAACAGACTATTTGGAAAAATCTAAACAACTTATTCTTGATGGTCCTTATAAAGAAATTCCCAAAGATCCGAGAACTAAAGAATTAAATGTTATAAAATCAACTATTAAATCCTCTGTGTTAATTCCCAATAGACTTGAGGCTGTTTTGACTCCCTCCATTTCTCATTGCGCTAGATTTTATACTTTACCTAAGGTACATAAAGTTGGCACTCCTTTTAGAAAACCTAATGGTTATTTGATGGCCTCATTTGATGTTAAATCTCTGTTCACTAATGTTCCTGTTGAGGGGGCTTTGGAATGCCTAAAACTTAGACTTTCGGAATATCATTTTTCCCAATATGAGGTCGATGAATATGTTAACCTCACCCGTGTTTGTTTACAACAAAATACTTTCGCGTTTGACAACAAATTTTACCGTATGACCAATGGTCTTGTCATGGGAAATCCTTTGAGCCCTATACTTAGTGACATCTATATGCATTAAAAAATGTTGAAACAAAATCATAGAATCAATAGTATCAATAAATACGAAAGTATTCAAATGTAGCACTAATTTGGGATATAGGGTGCAGTTAAAAAAAAAGATTTTCATTTTACATTTTAAGAATTCTTAAAAATTAAATAGTTTTACTACCAGCTTTTTTTGCGGAAAAACCCTTTTAAAACCCTTTTTTTCTTGCTGGAAAGGTTAACGTTTTGTCTACAGGAAATCTTTTCTTTCAGGAAAGCATTGACCATGAATTGGTTCTTTGCTTATAATAATCAAGTATAAAAACTTCTCGTTTTATGATTGCAAATACGTAGCTGCTAACTCTTCCAGTTTTCCCGGAAAATTTTAATTTTGTATTTAAAGTGGTACCGAAACTCATGCCATGCCATTAAAATTATTGAATTATAATTATAAATAAGTTTGACCACCACTACATATAAATAATTACAACGAATATATAAAAGCATGCTAATCTTTACGATAGCGAATTTTGACCTAGTCAAAATATAAATATATTTTTGAGTAAGATTGTTTTTGGGTAATTGTTCTACTACCACTTGGAAAATTCATTCTCACAAAGAGTGAAAGTTGGCAGGTATTCAAATAAACTGAATGAGAAGTGATCAATAGGATAAACCATGGCATTCAACGTGTTAACCAGAGATGCCAACTGCTCCGGACACGCCAAAATAATTTAAAAAACGGTAAATAACTTCAAAGTAAATTTTGAAAATAGTTGGCTATTTTTGTTTACTTTTTAAAAGGCAAAGCAAGTCATAAGTGCTTTAAAGTGGCAAATTATATAAGCCAATGAATTATTTAGAAATAGTGGTGGATAAAAATCTACTAAATTGAATTTATTAAACGAAAAATCACAATTGATAAACTACCACTTTAAACTATTTATTTTCTGTCCGGAGCAAGTTGGCGTCTCTGGTATTAACTACTATTTAAAATTTTGAATGCTGTTAAAGGAGAAAAAACGTATTGTTCAATAAAAACCGAAAAGCACTTAATAAAAACTTATTTCACAATACGCAATTTTTCAAAAACAAAACAAACAAATTTAATGATACATTACAAATAAATGTTACATTCATTATTTCAAGTGACTCGAAGAGTACTTTTTGTTGATAAGCTCTCAGGAAAGTTATTTCTTTCATTTTGGAAACGTTTCGATAACAAACTAATTTACGAAGTGTTTCCAATGATCTTGTTTTCCCGAAAAATGGAGTTTGGCGTAACTTTGAAAGTTTCTTCTGTTACTCTAGGACTGGCGATACTTTTTGGCGCCAAGCTCCCATATCTAGGAAAACCTCAGCACGCGCGAAAACATTAGATGATTTAACTGTGTTCAGAGAGACAGAGAGAGTTAGATCCTTTTCAAAAGCCCCGAATACTTAAAGATACTTGGGAGTTAGCCAAGTATGCACATGGCTTAAGATGCTGTTTGTTGTTGATTTCTATAATCTGGCTTTTTAAAAAAGAATTGTTTACGGCATTATACCGTAAGTATTTTTTCCTTGCCTCTTTTACTGAAATATGAAAATATTTATTTAGTTTGCTTCATTTGCGTGATTTCGGAGTTTAAAATAGTGTTTCAGAGGAAATATTTCATAGAAAGCTGAGAAAAAAAGCTTTTGAAATGAGCATTCTGCTTAAAATTTAATGTTTCGTTATGGCTTTAAACAATTTGGGGGAAAAAACACTGCTATTTAGATGCTTTGAATAAAACGGAAGGAAATTAGTAAAAATGTACTAGATTTTACTTAAAAATTATAACAGCGTGTAATGCGCAATAACGTTAAAATCTCGTTACAAAGTTTCATTATAAACTAATTAAAAAAGTAAAAATATTTTTTTGATTACTGATCATCTAGTTACGACTTTTTTTGAAAGGTATTTGCTTTTCTGTTATTAGCTCTGTTTCTAACTTTGTGTGCGCTTTCCTTTGCGAAGTATCTTATTCGTAAAAGATTGACGAAAGAAACGGGCTTTGAAAATTTTAAAAAGAGGTAACAAAAATTAAAAAAATTTTGATATTTTTATTTCTGTGTAACCAGCACTAAAAATTGTTTTCCAAAGAAAGTGTGCAAGCATGAAAATTCCAACTTCTAAATCCCTTAACAATAAAGTAGTATATTGAAATAAGGACTATGTTCAAGTATTTACCTAAGTTTACTACCACTACTAAAACTTTTCAAGGACCGCGGAAACCTTGGTATAGTTAATAAATTAAGCTAAAGTACTTCTTTTAAAATTATTTTTGCATGAAATAAAGAAAAAGCGCATTTTTGAAAATTTTTTTTTTCTGTATTTTCAACCATATTACGTGTACGGATTGATCTTTGAATAATTTAAAACTTTAATTTGAATTAATTTTATATTTCTGTTATTATGATATCAAACATACGATGCAGTAAAAATCCGTTCAAATCATTCGCTCTAAAAAATTCCTTATCAAATTACTGTAAAAAAGTACTGGTATTCAGGGAGCGGGTACTTTACGTAAAATTCATTTTCACCGGATCTATTATGAACTGAATAAATGTGATATACCGTAACGTTTACAGTGATAATTACCGTAACTACTACGCTTTTCGCAAACTATTTTATAGGTTAGTAGACATTAAGAAAACAAAAAGGGTTCAAAATTCTAGATAATGTTGTCAACATTCTAAAAGTCTCAACACGAAAACACAGTGGCGTTGCATATGAACTTTCAAATTATTTATGGGTAGTGATGTGAAAAATAAATTTAAACGAATAAAAAATAATGTATTGAAACCTTAGCTTAGCTACCACTGGAATAAATTTTGACAAAAAGCGTAAAAAGTTGGTAATCACATTTCTGATAAAAAAAAGAACCATAATGCTGGTAATAAAAACCAAAATATAATGTATTTAAAATATTCATTTGGGTATTCGCATGTTAACTGGAAATTCTAGTTTTCAAAACTATGATTTTTATCGCTGTTCATTTAGCAAAAGAAATGCAAAACTGAAAAATAAACTTTATCAAATGAATGGTTCTTAAGTCATACTCTAAGGTATCATGATACAGTTACCCAATTTTATCACATATTATAAAATCGCATTTTGTTATTAATTATACCAAAATCTTCACCAAAGCTCTTTGGTAAGAATTATCGAGCCTTTTGGTGTTCTCAAAGAGCTAGAAACATTGTAAATTTTAACATATTTAGATCGTATTATTCATACGTTTTTTCTCAGTGACAATTTAAGAAGAAATAATGTTTCTGTAATTTTAAATGCATAATTTTATCGGACAGACCCCTCATTTAAAATAATAAATTGGTAATTTTAAATTTATGAAAATATTTTATCGAATATGTAGTGAATTTATATAACTTTCACAGAGTGTAATGTAAAACTATTAAAGCTGATAAAAATAATTGTTAACTTATCTATTATTAAAATTTGTTTATTTATCTTCCTATAGCGTTGTTAGAATTGTACAGCAAGGCTTTTTTGTACTAATTTAAATTATGCCATTGCTACTCAGTATTATTGTAAAATTCGAAATTAAATTTTCTGTTTCTTTATTTTCTATGTTGTATTTTTACAACTTAAGAAAAAGTTGAATAACCATCATAAGATATAAAAAACAATCATCAATATAAGTTAGAACCGATTAAAAAATTTTAGTTTAGATAATTTTGATTTGCAGTTTGAAATTGCAAGAAATAATTTATTTAAGCTATTATTTTATGGCATAAATGATATTTTAAACTAATATTTAAATGTTTGTTTGTTCAAAGTTATGGGAATATCTTGTTGATACCCAAAAACTGGTTAGAAACATAATAAATAATTTGAATTGTAAAAAGAAGCTACGCAATAAAATCTGCGTGAAACCGTGAAAACTTTGTATGAAAATGTTCTATTTTCATTAAAGTGTATATTTGAATTCAGTAAATGTTGCCTCTGTTGGTCGTTCAAAATGCTCGTATCAAATAGCCGCCGCTGAGATTCGAACCTGGGTCACCTTATTGAGAGGCGAACGTTATATCTCCTGAGAAACCACGGCTGTCTTTAATTAATTAGTTCATTATTGCTAATGAACAACGGGGTTCCGCCAAAAGTAAGGCGTCTATTTAGGTTCCTAAAAGTTTGAAACTGCTGCTCTACGGATTAAAAATTTTCGGTGTACAAAACATCAAAATCTGTTTGATTGCCCAAGGAAACAGAGGAGAGAGGAAAGATAATTATATACACTTTCGAACTTCAACCGGTATACAAATAGGTTTTAGCAATCTGCACAACCACCTTCCTCACTTGTGATTTGTTTAAATATTAATTTGAAGCTCTCAATGTCTATTCATTTTTTTGGCCAAAATTTTAAAAATACTATTAAGCGCAGTAATGACGGTGATAACATAAAGGCGATGTGTTCAGAAAAATATTGTATAAATAAGATTTAGTAAAATTAGAATTTTATAAACAGTTTTATTTCAGGCTTCAATCCTTTTCACTTTGCATGCTCCCTTGAAATTTTTTTAAAACTTAAAATTTTCGTACTATATATTTCTTAGACGGTTTATAAAGAAAAAACTGAGATAATACGAAAATTGTTTTTCCAAAACTATCTATTTTTAAAAGTATTATGCCATTTTATGACTTCATTACTTATTTTAAGGAATTTCTAATAAATATACAAATACTAAAATTATTCTCAATAAGAAAATAAAAATTTAAGTTTTTTTTAATCGCAAAAAGTTTAAAGCCTGTATGCAGACGTCAAATTTTACAACATTGTTTTCTAAACTCTTACTTTTTCTTCCACATGAAGCTTTTAGTTAAATTAAAAATATCAAGCTGCGGAGTAAAAACACGAACAGTTTTTATAGTATATTAATTTGCTGTAATGTAGGTCTCTATGTATAATAACTAAGTAAATTATTAATTGAATTAAAAGAATCTTGCAATGATGAATTTTCAAACGTAAATGAAATATAGT